TACTGCCCCATTTCTTCTGTGGCTCCTTGCGGCCAGACACCACATGGTGCACCGTGTCAGTGTGGTTGCTTGTGGCAGGATGCCACGTGGCGTGTTGTGCCATGGCGCATGCAAGTAGCAGCACCGGTGTGATGCACCACAAGTGGTGGCACCGGTAAGCGGGTGCAGGGCAGGTGGGGGAGCTCACTCTCCCTAGCTTGATTTTTATGCATGTGCCTCACCTCACCTCGTACAATCAGACAGTGGGACGAGTGGGCAGGTTCTCAACTAGGGCTTATATCGGGGATGGGGCTTATATTAGGCGCATGAAAAAAATCAAGCTAGGGCTTATTTTCAGGATATGTGTTATTTCCTCCCGGAAATAAGACCAATTTGCTTTCTGAGCAGCTGTCTGCAAGGACTATAAATCCTTCCATTCCTCACATCCAGTCAGAGCTGAAGAAGCTCCTTGGATGAGAAGTGAAACAGCTTCAAAGTAAAACCAGTTGCCTCTTGAAAAAGCACCTTTTGGACAACCATGACCTGGATGTCTGAGAACCTCCCTAGATACCAGATATGTCCCAGCAACAGTTCCTCTTAATATTGGTTCTCATCTCAAACACTAGACAGGCATTTCATTGGATCTATGATGTCCCTATATTTCAAAATCTGAAATTACGGTTATTTCTACCAGCTTTCCCCAGCCTGTTGTCCTCCACTGTTGAGAATTTAATTTCCAAATGTTCTCTGAGGAACATCAAGCTGGAGACGTTTGTTCTAACAAATATCCCACAGCTTTCCCCCCCACCCCGCTCCTCCTCTGTGGCATCAATCGAGTAGGATTATCCTTTGAGAACGCATCTTTCTATGTATGCATTCGATGTCAGGTGATTCCGTTCAAATCTTCAGAATAATAAATAAATAGACAATGCTTTTTTTTCCCTCTCTTCCTCCTGCAGGAGAAAGCAACCCCTCAAGATCAACTGAATAGACACCTTACAAGACCACCACCAGATTATAAAGACCAAAGAAGGGGGCAGGTCAACGTGCAGCAAACACACCAATATCCCGGTAAGCATAAAACATAAAAGCAAACAAGCCACCTTCAGACAAAGATTTGACACATTTGCGTGTGGGACATGCTCCTCCTGAGCAGCGCGTTAGCTCTCCCTTCTCTCCAAGTTTGATGTGAGAGTTTCTCCTGTTTTCTTCCTATTTTCTTGTCCCCCTGGTCTCTCAAACTTCCTTCCTCCTAAACTTTCCTTTGCTTTCATCCATTCGACACACAAAAGTCTCCTTGTCCCTTACTTCTTTCCCCCAGGCCTTCTCCCTACCCCAAACAAACCAGCATTCAGTTTCCTTCACAGAAGCTACATTGATTTTCGGGAGCCCTCCACTGACCTTTCCCCTCCACTGTTGCGGTGTCCGTGATCATTGTACGGCATTGGTGCAGTTGCACCAACAGCTTAAAAGTCCATTCACGATTCTGAGCCCACCACGTCTGCTATCTGTTTAATCAGAGGACGTCTAAAGATGCCTATCTAACTCTGTTGGAATTTGCCTGGTGGCTGGATAAATCAAGGGCTTCGGCTCCCCCCCCCCCCAAAAAAAAATGAAGAGCAGTTCTAACATGTGATGAGTTGTCTGATGATTCAAACATTCTTCATGCATCCTCAACTTTCAAACATTTAAATTTTACTTGGTGAAGATCTAAAGTGAGTCTCATGTTTCTTGGGTCTCTGAATAGGTTAAAGAAGGCTGAATTGGCTAACAGAGCCTGACTGTCTCATGTTCTATTTTCAGGCATTGCATTTTAGGCATAAGCCTTGATGCAAGCATAAATGAATCAGAAGCATCTTCATAAACTCAAATTCATTCACGTCTACCCACCTAGAAGAAAGGACACCTGAAAAAGATAGATAGACTTTGTGTCAGGGTTCCAAATAGCATCCAAAAGTAAATTGGCAAAGTACTGTGCAAAGTTCCAATTTATTAAGAGAGCCATGTTGACACATCTGGGAAAACCCGAATCTGAAAGCTTCCCGGTTTTCCCCACCTAGTTGAAAGTTCAAGATCTTGCCCCCACATCCACCAGTCCATCACATTGTCCAATCTTCCACTCCCATGCTGACAGTTCCACCCATCAAATTCCGGTC